GTCTCTTGATACTCCCCTTCTTCACACTAGCATTAACCTGCTCGATCCCAGAATGCGTCGCCTTAAGTCCGTGCAGCAACTTCTGAAACGTCGGCGACAATCTATTATAAGCCTCAACAGTATTCGCAAAGAGGGTATCACCGCCAGTATCAGGGTTATCAAGGACATAAAGAAACGTCGTTCCCGGCGGCTGCTGCTCATACGTAATATCAGAATGCCACGCCACAGAGCTGACACGCGTCTTGAAGAACTCCTCGTACGACTTATCACCCGCACTTCTATGCACGAGATGGATCTCGGGATGGCCCTCTGGCGAACCAGACGTGGGGTGTATGTGATGACGGCCGAAGTAGCCGCCGAACTTGAGAGCTTCGGAGATGGGGAGGTCGGCGAAGTCTTGGTTGCGGAAGGCGACGACTTTGCGCTCGGCGACGTAGCGGGCTAGTTCGTCTTTGCCGGCGTCGGAGAGACTGCTCAGTTGGACGCCCTCGATCTCAGTGCCGATTGTGGGTGTGAGATGGGAGATCTTTGTGGTGGGTTTGAGGAGGTTGGGGAATGTTGGGTCTGCGTCTTTGCCGTGCTCGTAGTGCTCGAAAGGCTCGAGGGGAGGGTAGACTTGGTCTTTGTTCCATGTTGGGAGATAGTTTGGGTACTGAGATACTGGTGTTAGTGTAATGAGTGCATGTGAGAGAGGAAGTGATATACCTTTGCGGCAGCGTGGCCGTCAATGCCCTTCTCTTCGGCTTCACGACGGTAGGCGACGGGGGATAACTCTTTGTAAACGCCCTCGACGTGGCCGGGGTATAGCTTTACTTTCTGTGCATCGACTGTAGGAGCCTGAGTCTCAACAGCTGAGGGAGCCATCTTGAGTGAGTATTATCAAATATTGTATAAGTCTTTGATACGGGATTAACGTCAAATGTGTAGTTCACCTGGACCTCTACGACCTTTATATACCACACACTCCTCATCTGACAAATCCCATTCCCATCATACTCTCAGCGCGGGGAAGTATGCATCCGCAATAGAGAACTCGCAATGACGAACTGTAATTGTCAACCATTGTCATCATCCAAAGACATCGCGCAAGCATCGCATCTATTGCGTTGATCAACAAGACGCGAATCAAATCACGCAAAGGCCGAGAGGGACGGAGAGTGTAACATTGCAATGTAGAGTAACTTGGCGATCCGAGAGTATTTATCACGGCGTTATAGCATGGTATTGCGCAATGTCGGATCTCGTGGTTGAGGCCTCGAGGGTGGTGGTGAGTTGGCGCAATTCCTGGGGATGGGTCACGCAATATGCCTATCAGTCGGGGTTATCGAGAGGGAGAGTCGATGTCTCGGTTATCGGCCATAACTCTTTAGAAGTACAAGATGTCTATAGAATGGGTTTTGTAGGTATTGTAAGTCTTTGTGGCTCAAAATTTGAGAGTTGCAGTTGTCTTAAATATATCTATTGTCGGGAAATGTACATCTAATAGTCGACCCCAGTAACTCGACTTCAGCCATCACCCAAATGCCCCGTAACGCTTCCAACTGCCGAACAACGCCAAGTCCGAAGATTTCTCCATAAGAAGCGTAATTATTCCCATTTCACGGCGTCTCGGTCGGATCCCTCAGCGATTGGTCCCTATCGCAAGCACGTCATGCCTCTATTCTCATGAGATAGGACAAACCTCCGAACTCGACCATGGCTAGTTCCAGAGCACCCCATCTCTCGTACCAATTGTAAGCTTAAATCTCTTGACTTATCGAGAGGTTTTTATTGGTTCCTTGGCAGTGGCTAATGGTCTAGATCGAACCCCCAGGTTTAACAGAAGCTGTTGTAGCTTGATCGATTGTCCATGTTGGTTCAGTATCCCAGCGTCGTAGTTGACCTGGAGGCGTCGATTAACCCTGAATCGGCTGGGTCATGCCCAGAAAACACTCGTTCGCCGAGCCCTGAGGTGATTTGCGTAGTCCATCGCGACATTGATAACCCCCGTGTCTTCTCATAGAGGCATCCCAAGAAGCATGGGGGCAAATACTGTAAATTTTAGATCAATAGCTTAAAGGAATTAGTCTTGGTAGGGGAACTGCCAGCCTTTATAAGTCCAGCCCTGCACCACACAACATCACATCATGTTCGACATCTCCGCGGCCCTCCCTCTTGTTCTCTTTCTCCGAGGACTTACTTGCTCTCAGCTGTCACTATTGTCCCTCACTAAGATCTAAAATGGCTGCCGTTGAGGACTCCAAAGGGGTCATCGGCAAGACTGACTCCGAGGACCGTCGTTTTGACAGCGGTGATGAGACCGCCAATTCGTCAATCGAGCATCCTTTCTCGGATCCAGAGGTTGCGGATCGTTGGAGGAAGGTGTATGAGAATGCTCAATATGAGAATCGACATCGGTTCGATCCAAGCTTCACTTGGACTGCTCAGGAAGAGAAGAAGCTGGTTAGAAAGGTACTTTGCTCTACCACAGGACTTATACTGAAACCATTATATGGCTGTCTGGAGGTCAGTTGACTAACATGAGCTTGTCTCTAGATCGACTTCCGCATTTGTCTCTGGGCATGGGTCATGTTCCTCTCCCTGGACTTCCACCGACGAAACATCAACCGTGCTATTTCCGACAACATGGTAAGTTAATTCTCCGATGCATCTGGAGTGAAAGTTTGACTAATAGCTTCCTTTAGTTGCCCGAAGTAGGTATGAACACTAATGACTTCAACTACGGCCAAACTGTAGGTCTACCCCTGCTCAGCTCGGTACTTGAACTGACCATTTAGATCTTCCTTGTGTCTTTCCTTTCTGCTGAGCTCCCCAGTGGCTTGATTAGCAAGAAGCTTGGTGCAGATCGATGGATCCCGTTCCTCATTTGCAGTTGGTCACTCGTTGCGGGTTCCCAAGCTGCGCTGCATAGCAGGGGTGCTTATTTTGCTATCAAGGCTCTTCTGGGTCTTTTGATGGGTGGATTCATCCCGTAGGTCATTCACATCTTGAAACGAGAGTAACAACTGACAGGAATAGTGATATTGTCCTTTGGCTCACTTACTTCTACAAGTCCAATGAGCTACCAATCAGGCTGGCTTTCTTCTGGACTGCCCTGAGCACCAGTAACATCCTGGGATCTCTTCTCGCAGCTGGTATCCTTCAGATGCGTGGTGTTTTGGGCTGGGGAGGTTGGCGATGGCTGTAAGTACCGTCTTTACCAATTTTGGAACCTCAAACTTACAGGGCTCTAGATTCCTCCTTGAAGCTATTGGCACTTTCATCATCGGTCTCTTCTCTTGGGTCCTCATGCCTCCTGGTCCCTGCCAAACAAAGAGCTGGTTCCGTGGCAAGAATGGTTGGTTCAATGAACGCGAAGAGTACATCATGGTGAACCGACTTCTTCGCGATGATCCTAGTAAGGGTGATATGAACAACAGGTATGCTGCCCCAGAAATACCAACTATGCGTACGGACTAACACCTTTCTCAGAGAGGCTGTCAATCTTCCCAAGCTCTGGAAAGCCGTCAAGGACTGGGAGCAGTGGCCGCTCTACATCATCGGTCTCATGGTGTACATCCCTCCGGCGCCCTTCAACACATATCTCTCTTTCATCCTGCGTCAAATTGGCTTTTCTGTCTTCGAAGCCAATCTTCTCGCTATTCCCTCACAATTTCTCTACGCTGTCAACTTACTCATCATCACCTGGCTCTCTGAGCGTGTCCAAGAACGAGGCATGCTATCGTCCCTCTCCAACATTTGGATCTTCCCATGGGTTCTTGCCCTCGTCGTTCTTCCTGGCGACATATCCCCCTGGGTTCGATACGCTCTCATCACAGGTCTTTTGAGTTACCCCTACTGCCATGCTATTCTCGTCGGTTGGAACGCCAAGAACAGTAATAGTGTACGCACGAGAGCTATTAGTGCTGCTTTGTACAATATGTTCGTGCAGACTGGTAACATTGCTGCATCCAACATCTTCCGTGAAGACGATCAGCCTCTGTACAGGCGAGGCAACAGGGTCATCCTTGGCATCACGTCTGCCAACATTGTCTTGTTTTATATCGTCAAGGCTTTCTATATCTGGAGGAATAAAGTCCGCGATGCGAGATGGAATGCTTTGACAAAGGAGCAGCAGCAGGACTACATTCTGAACACAACGGATGAGGGCCAGCAGCGTTTGGACTTTAGATTTGCTCACTAGACAATGCATTGTTTTTGTGGTGTCTTGGAGTGGATTCCAAGAAGAGGTATCTCTGATTGAAGCTCAATAGATTGATCACAACTACTGGAGTATATCCAATCCTCACGTTCTGTTCTCTTCTCTTCTAAATCTTAGCCTGTCTGATCCTAAGCTTAGGGTAAATTATGCCTAAGCTTAGAAAACATGGATAAATCCTAGGACACTATGATCATAAGGTATGCCTAAACTTAGGCTAACTTAGATCTCGAGCCATAGCCCACTCATTGATTACTTTTGCCGTGGTCGGTAACGTTGCCTGCTGTAGCAGGCATGGCGGGTCATGAATATCACATGATTCCTTCACCGAAATGTTGGCACTGAAATGCCCTGCTGCCTGGTTGAAGCAGGCTTTCCGTGATATATTCGTAGTATGGGAGTCGAGTGTAACATGTTGCGGGTTGATACAGCGCCTCCAATTGCATAGGTGGGAGACCTCAGTCTCACATGTGAGCAGGCCTTGCAGGTCGTTTCTGGTATGGTGGACCAGGATGTAGAACGCTTCATGCTGCGCGCGAGGCGCAGCATCCCAAAAAATTCGAAAAGTTGATTTTATACATGGAAAACAACCCAGGTCTGTCTTTTCTCTGCGTGTAGTACCATTTGCATGAGTTGGGTGAGTGTAGCCGATGGATACACCTGGGAGAACCCAGAGAAGCAATTCCCATTATCAAAAACTGGTGGGATTCGTCTTAGGTATGACTGTGGAGTTGTACTGAATTTATGAAGGAACTGAGAATATGCTCGGTCCACCTTTCGGTGGAATTCTGCAGGTGAATTATTATAGAATTCCTGAAGCAACCGGCAAAGCTGGTTTCTTGTGCGCATTGTTCCAAACCGGACGGCGGGAATAGGTCGTGTTCGGCAGGGGAACAGCGGGAGGGCCATTGGTAACTGGAGGGCCATTGGTAACTGGAGGGCCATTGGGAAGAGGAAGCGTGTTGGAAAGAGGAAGTGTGCTGGGCAGAGGATCACCTTCGAGTTCAACTGTATCTAAACCGTCAGTGAAATGGGCTTGAGGTTGCTGATATCAATGGTCATACCTTGCTCATCGTCGTCGATGATAATGGGATTGAACCACATGCCTCTCGTCATCTTGTCTGCCATCTCGATGATGGATGATGATGGAGGGGAAAAGAAAGAAAACATTATAATATGACTGGGAAAGTCTGTTCTTTGGGGATCTACCTTAGTACTAAGCCTGTAGTCAAGTCTCCTTCTACTCATCCTTCGGAAACCTGAGGGGCCTGATCAATTGCATCATAATCCTCCCATCTGAGAGTGCGAGCCTCCTCTGCAGAAATAATCTGCACCCATTCGTTCCCATTCTTTATATCAAGTAGCTTCCAAGGCTGACCCAAAACTATGGGTCAGCTTGTCGGGGACAACCTGCACAGGTGCGAAGGACTCTGCAAGTGTAGTAGGCCGCTGGTACCGAATAGCTAGTCTGGCAGTAGGCTACCATCCAAGGCCTCTCATAGTAAATACTGTATCTTTGGCGAGTTGGCGAGTGTCTGCCTCATTGGTAAAGAAGCTAATGTCAGTAACGGGACTGACATATGATGCCATGGCTGTCGATTCTGAGTTAGGGATGCAAAGCGGCATACGGAGTATCAATAGACATAACAAAGGACTTATGAATCCCCGCCATGCGGGCAACGGCGGACAGGGGGAGCGCTGGTGGGTGTTGTAGTTGGGGCGTTCAATGCCCCCAGGAGGTCCTCGTCCGAGTCATGATCTGGTGCCTGGCGCTTCCGGCTGGAAGACGACCCGGTAAGGTCGATCGGAATAGGTTTATCGTTGAACTTCTTGGAAGTGTTAGAGGCGCTTCCGCTGCGGCCAGCGTGTGCAGCTCGAAGAACGGAGTCGATTGAGCTAGGCGCCAGTTCCGGGAATTGCTCGCCTATGATCATGTCTAGACCTGTAGTCAGTCCTTTAGTCCCACCCATCGCAGGCAAAGGTCGTGGGGTGGTCGGAATACCGTCTCGGGTTCGATCGGCGGCTTCCTCGAATTGTGCCAGATCTTCATCTGATTCCAGATCGACTAACTGAGTAGCCCTTCGCTTACGGGCAGATAGGGACCCGGTCAGGTCGATAGGAATTGGGGTGTCGTTGAATCGGGAGCCTGTTGTAGCGCTTCCGCCAGAGTTATAAGCCGCCCGAATGGCAGACCCAAGCTGGGGGGACTCAGACTCAGTAGCATGGTCTGCGACGATGATGTTGAGGCTGGCAGTTAGTCCTTTGAGGTCCCCCATGGATGTGAGGATAGACCGGGCCTTTTCGTGTTGGTCGGCGGTAACACCGGGGGTAATGAGACTCTTGACCAACTCGGCCAAGAGGAGGGCATTCTCTGCAGCGCCAATCGCATTCCGGGCACCTTGCCTGTACATTTCCTTTATAGTCCGCAATTGCGTCCTCGGCGGGAGCAAACTGACCAGTTGAGTTCCGTGGGGTGCGTCTTGGGGGCACCATGGTTTCTAGGCTAGCTTCAGACCCTGGGGATGGTGGCTCAGATGTATTGGACGTCGCTTGACGGAAATGCTAGGGGGCATGGAGGTAAATGAGGCCTGAATCAGCTTGAGATTGTCGGGACGAATCGCCTGGCGGTGGGGTTGGATAGTATATGCCGGCGAAGGCGTTCGACGTGCCACCACATGGATTATAGCCGTCTCGAATAGCTTGTTCCCTGTATGATTGATGAAGTTCGGGGTACCGTGCTAGCCACATATCGTATCTGTGAACCTTATGGCTATTTATCAGTTGATCCTCCCGGCCATATAGTTGTAAGGCGCGGAGATAGCCCTCATATGATATAGTTCCGCCCGGCTTTGATAATGGCTCTGAGAATAGACGGCCGTATTCGATATCTTTACTTTGGGGGCTATTCGAGCACGGGATGTATCTTATGCTTGACATTGATGAAGAGTCGAGTGATGATGCAACGCTTGTTGCAGAAATATGAATGACGAGTACTAACACCGGAGAATGACACGGCACAAGGACACGAGAACGAGCTCGCGTATAAGTGCGAGAATATTTATTTGTGAGAGGGAGGTGACGATAGAATGCAGCCTTAATGTAAAAGATGCTCTTGAAGGAGCGTAGTGAGACTTTTGACGGGATGGTTTTGAGGTTGAAGAGAGGAGTGAGGTTCGAAGAGGGCGAGGAGATATTCCTGCAGTTGATGGAGCACTTCCGGCACCATGCAGGAAATAAATGGGCCAAGTCAATTTGAGTTGCTCGGTCGTTGTGGAAACAACGAGACAAACCCGCTGTGATTGAAGTCTCGAGTTATTTGGTTATGGTAGGGTTAGTTGCATGTCAGTGACAGATGAGCTGCCACTGCACGACAGTGCCAAGCTCAAATAGCCAACCAGACCGAAATCGGGTGACAAACCTCACCAGATCTCTTAGTTAGATATCAGAGGTTTGTTTGCGCGGAGGCTTTATGCTGGAGTAAAGATCTAATAGTATTAAAGAGAGTCTAAGAATATATCTAACAGTAAACCCTGCACCACCTTGAATCCCAAAACACTCCATTACATCAAGTCCAAACTCATTCCAAACATAAAACATTAAACATTTCTCTCGTTGAGAATCGTAAGTCGTTCATAAGAACAGTTATGTGCGTTGTGCCATCCTGTACTGTCCCAGTTCCAACACCCCTTTCATCACCATATCAATTCCTGTTTTGAGCTTAGAAGAGAGAACCGATGAACTCCTTGGCGCGCTTGTAAGCGCCGTAAGAGCCGTACTTCTTGTAGTTGTAAGATCCTGCGAGTGTCAGTTGAGTGTCGTTGCAGTGTGCAAAGAGTTGACTCACCATAGTTGGTATATTTCTTAGGAGCCGGAGCGGGCTTTGGCTTAGGCTTGGGCTTCGCACCATAGCTTCCGTAGCTAGGATAAGACTTCAGGTTCTCACCTGCGCCCTTGTAGTCGCCGTAGGTAGCATATCCAGGAGCGGCTTCAGCTTCAGGGGCAGCTTCGGGAGCAGCTTCAGGAGCAGCCTCACGCTTTTCAACCTCCTCACGCTTATAAGAGCCATAGGAGCCATATTTCTTGTAGTCGTAGCTTCCTGGAAGAGTGTAAGTGTGTGAACGTGGACTGCAGCTTGCTCAAGGGACTTCTCACCATAATTGGTATACTTCTTAGGAGCAGGGGCCGGAGCAGGCTTAGGCTTTGGCTTTGGCTTCGCACCATAGCTTCCGTAGCTAGGATAAGACTTCAGGTTCTCACCTGCGCCCTTGTAGTCGCCGTAGGTAGCATATCCTGGTGCAGCTTCAGCTTCGGGGGCAGCTTCAGCAACCGGGGCCGCCAAGGCACCCGCAGCGAGAGTGAGGAGTGTAACAGCGGTGAACTTCATTTTGATGTCTGAAGAAGGATAGAAAGATGGTAGAGTGAAGGAGCAGAGAAGAGGGTGGGTGCTGGGTAGTTAAGGCTGAAGAGATGGGTGAGAAGGGTGGTGAGGAAACACTTCAGCTCACGATGGGAGCTCCGACTTTATGGACAAGGATGGACGCCTCTTGGATGTACAGAAAAGTATCCCATGATCATCCTGATCAAGAAACCTTAGCTTGCAGAAGCAAACTGGAAGCTCTCAACTCCGAAAGTCTACTTCCCAGATCCAGACTCGGTATGCCAAGCGAAAGTCGACGATGGCGTCGGATCCTACGGCATCAGACAACTCACCAGCCTGCTCAGACTAACACCCGTGAAGTCTAAGCTAGAAAAGCAAAACCTCGTATCAGTCTCACAGCTAACCCAAGGTTGCACGTGGAGGGGATCACCATCCGGACGAGGCTCTCCATTGGACCACGCCAAGGCTGAGCACTCATGTCTTCCCTTTCACGGTAACGATCGCGCAGTTTCCGAGAAGCTTTGCATCATTGAAATCCTACCTTAGCTTCTTCGCAATCGTGATGCCTCGCTAGCTTGGTTGATATTCAGCGTGGCTGGCTAGCTACAGAGATTAACCCGGGAGAGCTATCGTGTAAGCCCTCGCTGAGCTCAGAAATCAGCATAATTTCCCTATCTGGGAGAACAGCCACGATCTGGGCAACTAGCACGATGATCAAGGTGTGTTAGTGAGCGGAGCTAATGCACGTTGGATAAGAGTCTAGAGACGGACCATTGTAAGTCTCCAAGACATACTGCACTGTAAATAGCACAAGAAAGTTAATATGTCGTGTCAGACGTGCATAAGATCCATCTTCGGGTGGCCCTTTTGGGATTGATGATGTAGTTGATGGACGAAAATGTCTTGGATTGATCTAAACCCTTGCTATACGATATGATCTACCCGTCCCAATTGCGAATCATGGGGTTCGATGTCGTCAATTAAAAAAAAGAAGAACTTCGGCAGCACGGACTAGAAGCGATCGACTTCGTATAGCTAAACCACCAAGACCAACGTTCTGCCCAACCCCCTGCAAGCCTCATTCCCATCACGTCTTAGTAGCTAACGATTACAACCTTAACTACCAAAAGCCATCTTTTTTAAAAGAAAAAAAAAAGAAGTGCGGCCAAAATATTACAGTAGCGATTGTGGCTTTCTGCAGGGAGCATTGTTGGTCAGATTCAACCTCAGCCTCACGGTTGTGGGAAGTTAAATCGCCTCTAAGGCGAGATGCTTCCAACAGCTTTCTGATCCGTCTGGTCACGGAGAGCAACTTCTCTGGTCTTGGTACATTAGCGCGATACCAAGTCGGATGCGGAGGCGGGATCCTACCCTGCCTAAACACATCTCAGCCTTTCTTCACGAGGTGCGCTATGTCGATGTAGGTATGATCGCTTCTTGTCTGGGTCTCGGTGATTGGTGCCCGCCTCGTTTCTCGTGTAAGTCGGTACTATCGTGTACTGCTATCTCACTTCTGCGTATCTCACTGCTTAGACTAGCTCCAAAGCCTCTCTTCCGATGCCCATGTCTAGAACCTTTTGTGAGGGCTGTGATAACCACGGATTGCCTCATCTGGAGCATGAGAGTTTGCTGGACTGCGCCGGCTGAATCGGCAGTGTGCATTGAGTTGGCACTATGGGTGTCAGCCGCTCAATATCGTCATGTTAAGGGTCTCGAGAGTTCCCGTTCTGATTTTATCAGAACCTCGAGAGCTTTGGGTTATTTCCTTCTTCTCACTTCTGACTCTATTCTTGTCTTACTCAGATTCATCTCACCTTTAAACACAACTCGTTCATCAATTGTTTTCTCTTCTATTGTTCACACCTCCCAATTGTTGCAAACATGGCTCCCAAGCAAGAACAAGAATCTGCACTCTTGAACCCTCTCGTCGACGGTCAAGATACAGACGAAGACTCAGAATCCTACCATTATGTCCCTCCTCGAAGACGGCGATGCTCTGCATGCAGATGTGTCGGATGGATCTTCACTCTTCTCTCAATTATCTTCATCTCAGCACTCACTGGTGCTTGGATCTCAATGGCATATCTCAACATTGACCAGACATGTGCTGCACACACAACATCATGGTGTAAGTCCTCGACTCAATAACCCCACCTAGAACCATCAATTGACCTCTCAATTACAGCGCCGGTTCTCAAGGACATTTCGATAAAATACCACGAGCAACCATTTGATGGAAACTTTATGGAAGAGAATGACTTCCGCAAGAACGGCTCTGCTAAAGTCGATGCGGCGTGGGAGTCACTCGGTGTTGACTGTATGTGTTTGCCTCTTGAACAGCCTGCTGAAGCATTGACTAACATTCTTAAGATCGACCTGGTGTCATCTCATACGAAGATGGAATTGCCAGCGGTCTCACTGATGCCCATGTCCAAGTTAGTCCTGAACATGGCGGCGGTTTCATCGTCAATGTTGAGGGCATGCATCACCTTCACTGTCTGGTATGAAGCCAATTGCAAAGTAAAGGGAACAATATCTAATCTCGTCACAGAATCTTGTCCGTAAGTCTCTCTACTTCAATTACGACCACTACAAGGCCCTGGGTGGACATGCCTTCAAGAACGACGGCGAGGTTTTCCGCCTGCACGTCAGTAAGTCACACTACCGCGCTTCTCTACCAAGTTTCCAGTACTGACTACTGCAGCGCACTGCCTTGACACAATTCGCCAAGTTCTCATGTGCAACGTTGATACCGGTGTTCTTGGACAAGTCTGGTACGACAGGAAGAACCCCAGCGCGTTCCCCGACTTCAACACCAAGCACACTTGCAAGAACTACGAAGATATCAAGAAGTGGTCAGAGAAGCTTCAGGTTAGTATCCCCTGACTTAATTCTTGACCAGAATGCTGATGAACCTTGATGCAGGCTCCTCCTCCTGGTACACTGCCCCCAGACTTCCTCGCCAACCCACACCCAGAGCACGTTCTTGAGTTCACACCATAATGACACATATTCTCTCAACGATATAAGATTCACGACTTCTAAAGACGATAATGCGATTTCAGTAATGCTTCTTCTTGGGTTACATGTAGATAGATATCTGGCATATACACCAAGCAGGCTCCAACGCCATCAATATTATAATACCCTCCTTTCATACATATGCTCAGGCATCTCTCTGTGAAATCTCCCAAGAAACTCTCACAGCCGCTTTCAGCGTTTGAACATACCAGCCTTGTCATGTCAGCCTTGAGATCAAGTGGCTTCCCGGCTGCCCGCTCAGCATGTCTCACTTTGTATAGGGCTGTAGACTTCACACATTCTTCATTCGGATTAAAGTGTGAACATGGGGAATCTCAGCCGCACGAAAGAAATGCGCTTATAGAGATGCATACTTTAGGAAACGGCCAATCCAGCCGCCCAGCCGGTTGGCCGGAAACGGTTCATCGATGTGGTGGCAGTCAGCATTCCAGTCCAAGGTCAGCATCGTCACGATACAACAGACTTCACGTAAATGACCTAAAAATACCGGAGTAATTTCTTGATATTGGTGTGGCAGAGCCTGCTAAACGAGTGACCTTGTAGCTTCCTCCAGACCAAAAGAGAGTGCATCAGATATGTATCTGTACTAGGTCAAATCATATTCCTCCGTATCATCCTAGGGCGCACTTAAGCCTTGACCTCAGCCTGAAGACGGTGGAAGCCACCAGAGGCAGCGACATCCTTCTGAAGCTGAGCAATACGCTTCTGGTCTCCAGTTGGGTCACTAGACTCTCCAGAAAGAGTCCACTCGAGGTACGAGTTGGTGTAGTTGGGCTCGAAGCTCTCGTCAAGAACACCAAGACGCTTGCCGTACTTGGTGACCTTCTCCCAGTCACGCTTGACGTTCTTGAGGTCCTTACTGAAGTAGGCAAAGCTGCGCTCAAAGATCTTGCGGTTGAGCGCGGTGCCCATGACGGGCTTGAAGTCGACGTACTCGGCCCAGGCCTTCTCGGGCTCGGCGAGGACAAAGTCGGTGGCCTTCTTCACGGCGCGGAGGAACGAGCGGACCTTCTCGGGGTTCTCAGCGAGGAACTTCTCATTGCCGATGTAGAGGATGGTGCAGAAGCAGCAGCAGCCAAGCTCAGCGAGTTCGTCGATGCGAAGCATCTGGACATCGTCCTTGGGGCGGCCCTGGGCAGAGAGCCACTCCTCGAGCTCAACCATCTGGACGTTCTCCAGACCGATACCGGCGTCGATCTCGCCTTTGATGATGGCCTTGGAGACGTTCATACCGCAGCGCACGGCGGTATAGTCATCAGGAGTCATGCCATAGTGCGAGGTGAGCTCGTCGATCTGGATCTTGCCAAATTCACCGACATAGCCGATACGCTTGCCCTTGAGGGTGCGGAAGTCGGTGGTGATGCCAGAGTCCTTGAGGTAGACGACGCCAGTGAATGGCTCATCTAGAAGACTACCGATGGACTGGACGGGGAAGTTTCGAGCCTTGGCAGCCAGAGTGTGAATCATGGCCTTGAATCCAAGGTCGACCTTGCCAGTACCAATGATCTCAGTGACATCCTGGACGGTCATCAGCATGTTGGTCACCATTCGTCAGGTAACAGGCACCTACACTAGGATCGTTGGGCTCAAGAAGAGCAACCTTGATTCCCTCCTCCTTAAAGTATCCCTTAGCCTGAGCTAGGTACAGCGGCGCGTGGTAAGGCGTAGCGTGCCTAATAACAGTCAACACAAGTTCATTACTATAGCAAGTCAGTGGTACCAGTTGGTGAGGAAAGTGATCTTATCAGTCGACATGATGAAAGACCAAGTGGTGTACTGCTAGGGTTAGTTTCCCGGTCACCCGGAGCAAAGGGGAGGATGTCAAGAAGCATGTCCTTTCGCTGGTATTATCCAGATCAAGTTCGCCGGTATTTCTCAGATCAACTGCCCTGCTCTGCCCGTCCTCACAGACGACGCACAGTCATCACCATTGAAGGTGAATGAGATGCATCGTGAGATGAGGGGAGGTACAGAGCATAGAGGCAGTTGAACACCCGGATGCGTTCTTTTAAACGTTACCTTGATACATGGTAATAATTGCGAAGAGAGCCATTGCTCCTTGGTCGTGCGATGTCACATCGTACCGAAAGTTATGTGAGTGGTGTTTGAAACAAAGTTACTGATTGAGACAAGACAATTGTCAGATAGATGAGTTGAAGAACAAGAGTTGAGAAAGTGAGAGGATGGGGTCTTGATATATGAATGCCTCAACAACCCCTCAGCGGGGTTGATGCATCCTACACGACCTCAACGTCATTGTAATGTGGGCATTTGTACGGAAATAAAGGTCTTATTGGCTATCGGTTATCAATAGTGAGTAGTAATGTAACAACAAATGGCTCAGTTTTGGTGATAGAGGCCTCGAGAGCGCTTCACGGCTCGGCTTAACATTTCAAGTCGTGGGGCATCTTGCAGTAGGGTTAACTCTATGCAGATTGCCAACATGATATGACACCAGATCATGAATTGCGTTCACCCATGAAACCTGAAGAAAGTGATTGAGAAAAGAACCATGAAATGAATAATATCAAAAATTGAGCCACTTGCCATTCACATTATGATCTTGGAAATGTCGCGGTAAGGCTTCAGTTCAGGGTAGGCTCATCAAGGTCCACCACAACCTCAATCTCACGACACTTTTGCTGGATCGTGATACAATTAGACCTAGACCGGAAGCTCGGTTCGACCAACAACAAGTTGCATATGTACCAAGATATCTTTTAGAGAACTGCCAATAGCTTCACAGATGATCTGACGATACGTTGGGACAGGTGCCCGCTTGACAGAACCTGTCATTTCGATAGCATGATGCTCATTATAGCCGCCGGCAAATTCGGGGTGCTTCGAGAAACTGCCGTCTACTACACGGCTCAGGAGATACTTGCCGATGGATGATCGAGGAAAGTTCTTCGGCAAAACATGTTTCCGGGTTAGAAATGTCGATTGTGATTTCGCATGTGAAACAGTTGTGATGAGCTTCTTTCAACATGCGTCCGTTGAATGTCTTGGGTACATGCTCGATTGAGGAGACAAGGAGCTGCATAACAATGACTGAGCAGTAGCATTGAGCAATTTGAGCATATCAACTGACAACAGCACACATAATAATAAGGAGAAAAGGTTCTCGGATTCAATTCACGCCAATTCTTCATTTCCTACGACCAATCCCATTGGCCCTCTTCAAAGCTCACAGCTCCGTGCACTCGGCCAGGCGCCCGCATGTCCTACTGCCGTTGACAGGGCTGAAGGGCCTCTCACAAAATTCTAAAGACACAAGGAATTCTAGATGCAATAGCTTGTCGCAAACTCCGTCTCCCTAATTGGCTCGGGGATCTAGACCCGGAGCTGGGGCAGAGCTCTCCCCTGAGAACGAGCTGAGACCGTGGGATCTCGGTGTCCCGAATAGGAAACACAAGGATCCCAATATCGCGGGTTGCTTGGCCCGTTGCATCTTCGGTGTCGAAAAGCGTAGGTCTTCACGTGGGACCTTGTCTCTTGTTCCCTATTGTTTTGGTTTTGAGACAGATCTGAGGTCGGTTGCTCCTAAAATAGGCGACCGAGATGTGCGTCTCTCACCGAGAGCTGTATGTACGTAAGAAAGTTCCTGCAAAAGCTTCATCCCGCGCGGTGTAAGACATTTGGATTTGACTTAGACTTCCCCGGACAGGGAAGTGCCTGGTATACTGAGGCCTGCTTCAACCTAGGATGATGCCGTATCCGTGTCAGTTTATTGATACAGGCACACGAGCACTTTCCAGTCTTTGAACCTTGGATGCGACGCGAAACATTAACATTTCAAGCCGTTCACGGACCATGAGTTAAAGTTACGCCCAGGGCAAGCGAGAAAATGATTGGTGGTTGGGAGTATCTGCAAACGACATGTCGCGTGTAAGCGGGCGATGCACATTCGACGGCGGCAGCATGCCGTTGAATAATCTCAAAGCATCCAGATATAGCAACAAAGTGAAGAAGGCAATGATTACGGCTGTTAGGTGAGGCTGATATTGAGGCTGGAGTGAGACGAAACCAGTCTCGTAAGCAGCGATGACGTCGATCAGATTTTCAAATGGTGCGCTGCAGGAGAGGAAAACCCCGTGACGGTCGGGAATAGCGGACGATGGAGATATGAATTGGTAATATCCACGGAGTCTGGAGCATAAGATCGGATTAGAATCTTGCGATATTCCGTTACTAACACAAGAAAAAACAAGAACTATTTGACGCCGGTATCATAAGAGCGACGCCGGGAGATATCCGATACAGCCGTAATTACGGCCGGGTCGGTGGTTCGGTCGAGTCCGGCCGTCACGCTTCCGCCACTTACAACCAGACCATTTCAGACCATTTCAGTTCAGCTCACAGCTAGAAAATATTTTAAATTTTTGTGTGAAAGCACCACCAAAGCTTATGAGGCCCTACCAAAATGTAACTTAATGAAGTCTGAAGCAAAAGATGCCAGGTTAATATTAAGATATTTGTATCAAAATCATGCACATTTGCAGTGCAGGGCAAAAAAAAAGAAGAATGCGATGATGCAGAATGGATCATCATTTCAGGGACTTGTTGTACAGGCACAAGGGCCCCCCGACTGTGCCGAATCCGCCAAGCTACGATGATGATCACTGTGGCGGCAATGGCTCAGGGCTGGCTTGGTACAAATGTTGAGCAAGGGTGACAAAATAAATCACACAGTATCTCATTGGAGGGCCAAGTTCTACCAAAAACAGCTCTGACTTAAGCTGCGCATCATTGGTTGCACTCCGTGGGGAAGCCCAAAAGCTACAGGTTGACGTTTGTCTCTTTGAGACGTCTGGATGTTGGTTTCAAGACGTTTCATGAGGTGAAGATCTGAATATCAGGTGCGGTGTGCATATTGCAATACACGTATGTATACGTATTTGTGCTACGTGGAGGTTTAACCTCGAGCATGACAGATCGACGCCGTGTCTCACCCGCGCCTT